ATATCAACACCAAATACACAATAAGTTATGTTTACAGTAATGCTTTTATCACAAATATTGGTACCAAGATAATGATTTTGTACCGAATTGGTAGTAATTTTCAAATGTTACTGGATTTTTTGCCTTTCATCGTTAACTCAGGAAATGTTGTCACATTCTGTTACATGCCGATTAGAATAATACATCTGCCAGGCGAAGGTGAGCGCCAGATCAAGATCCTAACCTGTTGTAGTTTCATTTGTTAGAAGTTTAATTTGTTTCGCTTAATATCTGAACGGGGGCGATATCAAAAAATTTACGCTGCTCTGACAGAATCCAATATCAGCGCAATAATAGGCTTCCTTAATATTTGCATTGCATTGCTAATCAGAAGAAACACGCGGTTGTACAGAGAAGAGAGAGTGCTTACCTCGCAGAACATAAAATATAGGTAAACAATTACTAGTAAAGAGAAAGGTATTGCCTATTTAATGATGCAGAACACCGGACTTAGACCAATGTATCTTGAAAAATTATCATTTCAGGAGATAAAGTATTTACACCGATTCCCTTTCAAGAATGTATTCGAATTTTATTTAAATTCAAACTGAACTACACAAATAATCTCAAATAGCAAAAATGCTGTGGCTGAGAGATTGCCAGCTTGATTCAGGTTGACGCACCGTCCACTTCCTTATCAGGCAAACAAGTCAAACATTAGATACTGACAATAGCGAATGTTCTCGATACTTTGAGACTTTCCTGCTCACTGCTCGTTCTTGTGCAAATGAGGTCAGTCGGGCGTCGCGTGTTGCCCCCTTCGGTATTCGTTACCTCAACTAGTCGAAAGTGTACCAGATTATGTTGATAGATGTGAACTGATGTTAGAGGGACTAGCTTAACAGGAATATTTTGCTTTAAAAGTTAACAAACGTGGTCATTTTAGGTCTAAACGAAACTTGTCCTATAAAATGGAATGTGGAATTAAGATTTTACATGAAAATATCTCCTATTTGAAAGGGCTGAGATATACTTACCTAGTCTACTTAATGAGTACTAAACCGTTTTTTTTTACTTACTAATAAAAGCAACGTAAATGAAATAATAATAATATTTTCACACATTTCACACACGGCCGTCTGATCCCAATTTAGGCAGAGCCTGTGCTATGGTAACCAGATTGCTGATAAACATACTTATATATTTCTAAATACATACATATTATAGATAAATTACACCCAGACATAAAACAAATGACCATGCTCATCAGACAATTATTTGTCCTGGGTGGGAATTGAACCCACGACCTCTGGCAGTCAGGGTTACTAACCACTAGACCAACCGGACAGTCGAAATAAAGAACCGAGCTAAATAATGATTCTATTCATTTACATAATATCCTCATAGCGAAGATAACAACGAAAGCATTTCAGCGCTAAGTATACGAAAATAAATGTATCCTTATCTTTAAAGGTCGCCTTATCTATAAAAACAAATATTATTTCAATCCACTCCTCTGTCTCTCTCCTCCGAGACGATCTTCATAGAGGTCGGTAGGTTATGAAATAAATTTACGCACAGTCATTATATCTTGAAATTTTCGACATTATTGATGAGGCGATTAAAGTGCGTGGCATTGACCGCGAGATTGCGGTGCGTGCGCGTGTGCCAAGAGCGCCTGCGCAAATAGTCTGCGCAAGAGTCGAGTTGCGCTCCACTGGCTTGTTGCGGTACAGTACCAGTTCCCCGATAACGAAAGCCTTTCTACACGAAGTGGACTCTCGGTTTCGTTTGTTGCTTGTATGTGCTTCATAAACTAGTTTAGTGTTGGCAAGTTGTTCGAGGTTGCACTACACTGGTTATGGGCATACTTTGCTAAAGTAATTTGTTTGCTTTTACTCTGGTACCTTTAGTAGGTTCACTAACTGGTACATACATACTACAAATCACTATTTTATATACATTCCTAAGGTATTGATAACGTCATCTTGATGTGAGAGTCAACACTTAAGCTTTTCTCAATTGATAATGGTGCTAAGGTAGTTGGGATAACAAACTCATAGCATCTTCTATCCAGTTATTAGTATTTGCTGTCTCTCTTGTTTTGATCAGTATATTGGACCCCCTATCCTCTAGTGGGTTATCTGATCAGAGAATTAATGTCCAGCTGCAGCACCTAGATTTGAGGAATTCCGCTCCCTGTTCATTCTCCTTTCGCTAATTTACCTTATTTCTTCTCCCATGTAAAGGTGGTTAAATTTTCATGAAGAGTTAGCGTCAGGCCGTCGGCCTGCCATAAACGAATCCAGCGAAAACCTTTGCAGTTTATTACAAATCACGCCAACTCCTAAACAAATTAGGAAAATGGCAGAAGGATGATATTTTCTTTATTTTTGAAGTAGTGATTTCTTCACATACATTAAAATACAAGAAAAAGGTAATATGGTATATAAAACTAATGAATTTCTTACCTTCCTCATATAAATGCAATGTTAGTAGAATGAACGAGCATCGTTAGTTTGATGTCAGACTGGCTCTTGTACGCGCTGCCTGTCTTATAGGTGCGCTGATCACGGCGTGGGTGTTCATTTGATGTCATTGGCATGGGAACCGTGACTAAACATATACTATAAGATTACGTCATGAAGAGTTAACTTGAATGTCTAGTCTATTTACCGCATCTTTTTACAGTCCATAAAATTGGCTTAATAGTAGCTCATACTGTTTAAAATTGGCCAATAATGATAATACATGACTTTATTGTTTCACCAACATAATACCCTCTGGAGTTTGAACACAACTGGCAAACGATTTCAGTACTACATTAACAACTGTTATTTATAGATGTATAATTTTGAATTTTAGTTCATTTCAAAAGACTGGCAATCGCTGCCTAATATAGCACCGTGAGTCACAGTTACTTAGTCGGAAAGCCAATCCATCAATATTGATAAAGCGTTTGGTTTAACATAAACTCTTAATGCAATTGAAACTGTCGGGAGTTATTTACGATACAGCGGTCGAAACTTGAACGTATCGGTATCAAGTTCAATGATTTGACCGCTACCTCGGTGCGCTATATAAGGCACTTATCAACTACCGCTTTATCGCTTAGGTTTTATGTTGCCGAAGAGCACAGATTCTCTTAGATTAGTGCTCAGTTGAGCTCATCTGTACAGAGTTTCAGTTCGGGCAACTGTTTAAGTTACACTAAGTATCGGAGCGTTGTTGATATGTAGTGAGCGATGAATAGCTTACGCGATGACAGTTTGCGTGGCACGCTGGTGCGCGCGGGAGTGCGGTGTCAGCGGGTGTCGCGGTGACGTGTGTAGAAAGGCAGCGCCGCGTGGCGCGCGCGCCATGTGCGCGTTCACTCCGTCGCCATGGCGCGCCCCAAGCACTCGCCGCGACACAACGCGCAGTACGATGACCTGCCGCCCAGAGGACCAGGTATTTACATATTCATAACTTAAAATACCACAAATATTGTCTTTTTAAAACGTGCCGATGTTTTGTGACAGTGTTTTTAGGCGATTAATTGTTAGTATCTGGTGTCGTGTCTTGCCGGACCTGTGGGGACGTGAGGACGTGGAACGAAGCTAGGGCAACATACTGCCAGCAGTGTAATGCGTTACTGCTTGCAATTCATATCACGAGTTTCCTTTCATGTTTCCGTCAAATAGTGGAAGGAAGCTCATCGCCGGAACCGATCTTACGCGGATATTATGAATTAAAACAGGGTTCTTCGCAACATATGTTATACGCGGTTCGATTTATTATCTTTTAATTGTTCATTAACGTGATAGGTTTTACTTTCGTATGGGTGACAAGCTGTGTGAAACAACCGAAACATTAACGGTAAACTTCAACGCTATTCCTTTTTATTACTAACTAGCTGACCCGCGCAACTTCGTCTGCGTCTCTCAATAGTAATAAATTTTCTCCGTTTTTGAAACATTCTTCATTGCTGCTCCGCTCCTATTGCTCTTAGCGTGATGATATATAGCCTATAGCCTTCCTCGATAAATGGGCTATCTAACACTGAAAGAATTTTTCAAATCGGACCAGTAGTTCCTGAGATTAACGCGTTCAAACAAACAAACAAACAAACAAACAAACAAACTCTTCAGCTTTATAATATTAGTATAGATAGAACGGTTCAGCAATGATAACTGTAAGAAAACATAAAGGAAGCTTGCCCAAAAAAGTTCGCTCACAAGCTTTGTGGTGAACAAATAATCGTTAGATTTTAGTTCAGAACAGACTCGTGACAGCCACCGAGATCATTGCCAGGAAGAACAGGTTTCATTGAGTACACTGACAATCGCATGGACGGGAACCTGTTTATAATACAAAACTGTTATTTATTTGTATTTAGCCGTATATTTCAGCTGGATGTGTTTTGGTTTCAATAACAACAACGTTGTGTACGTAGGCTCATCGGACAATTACAATTAACACGCGTAAGTTAATTTTATAAACAAAATGTATTATCCACAAGTCTGTTACGGGTGTGAGTGAAACGGAAGATCAGATTTAACGATAGGGCTTATTAGCACAGACATGCAAATGATGCAAACGGTCATTGTTACAAAAACGTAGTTTAGCGTTAAGAGACTACAGAACTGCCTTTCATTAGAAAGGTGATTATTTTTAACATTTCTATGGGGACTTTCTCTTACCGTGGAATCTCCGAACAACTAAAACTCGTAGTAGGTAGTTAGTCTGTTTTGAAAAGAGCTCTCTTTATTGTTCCAAGGGTCAACAGATCATCTGTATCTTGTCCCGCTAGATTAGATTGTATTCAATGCATACTACCTGTTTTTATATTTATTTTAATGAGATAAAGTGAACATCTTAGAATTATATTTTCAACTGGATCTAAGTTGACCCTAACGATTCTCAGATCTTTTTTTATTTAAATGATAATTTGAACAGAGATATTGAAGCTGTAGGTGGTTACATCGTCTCGCTTATTCAAGACCTGCCGTAAGTTATAAAGTGTGATATTGTGATCGCAGTGGAGTCGCTGATCTACTGGCGGTCGGCGGCGCACAGCGGCGCGGCGCTCGGCGCGGGGCTGGCGCTGCTGGTGGCGCTGGCGTGCTGCTCCGTGGTGTCCGTGTGCGCCTACGCTTCACTGCTGGCGCTCTCCGCCGCCGTCGCCTTCCGCATCTACAAGAACGTGCTGCAGGCAGTGCAGAAGACTAACGATGGACACCCCTTCAAGTGAGTTTTATATAAATATATATATATGTGTGTATACTGGTTCAACAATTACTTGATATATGTTCTTGCCTAGACTTGGCCTTTAGCACCAGGAATAGTTTGTGCGCTGCACAGTGACTGATTGTACTTGTTTATATTTTCATTGCCCATTCCCTATGTAAGGTACAAAGGTACAGTTTTGTTTTACTTTTCGTAAAGCTACTCATTTGTAATCTAGTATTTTTTGTTAGGAATTAATCTATTTTACTTGTATCAAAACAATGTCTCATTAATGGCTGTGCTATGCTATGTGCTATGTACTCACCCTCCGGTGAGTCATACGTCACCCCACTGTACAAAAGTCGAGCAACTACAGTTAAAAAATCAATACGCCCTGCAAATTAATTAAACCCAATATCGACAAAGTTTACGGATATGCGAACACAATAGAATTTTAGTCAGTTTCTTGGCAGTCAATGTTTACTTCTAAGAAACAAGAAATTACTACGACTAGTTGACTTTTATGTATGCAATAAAAATTAAACTATTGAATAGTTTTGAATTAGGGAAACCATTAAACTTTTCTTATAGGATAGAACATAAAGTATTTAAAATAATTAAAATCCAGAATGTTGAGAATGAAAGTCCAGAGTGTGGCCCAATAACCAATTATTTTGACACGCAATCTTAAACGGGACACGAAAAACGAAAAGGAATCCATTTTACCTTTCGTTAAAGCCTTGTGTAAAGTTTGTGTTGAATGATAAAGTTTTAAGTAGAATGATTATTTGGTAAAAGAACGTAGAAAGTGATTTAATATTTAAAACAATAGTTGAAAGCGACAGGACTTGCCGTTCAATAGCCACGAATGAATACCTATTTATATCTCATTTCACTAATAGATAATGTGACAGTGTCGGTCACGCACCGCTGACTTTTGCTTTCACCTGATCCACTAATGCATAAACATTGTGTTGATTCTGTGCTTTTTAATAATGTAGATTTAGTCAAAACAAGTCGACTAGGCATCTTGGCGAAACAGCGTTCCATTGCGATTGAGGCACCGCTTACATAATAATAATATAATAATAATATTGTACCACATTCACACAACGCCATCTAGTCCCAAACTAAGCAGAGCTTGTACTATGGGTACTAGACAACTGATATAAATACATATTATATTCTTTTCTTTTGTAAATACATACATATTATACATAGAAACACCCAGACCAAATCAAACATTAAATGTTCATGCACACAAATGTTTGACTTGAGCGGGAATCGAACCCGCGACCTTTGGAATAGCAGTCCGTTACACAAACCCCACCACGTCGTGAACGAGAACAAGATCAACGGACTCCAATATACTCTTTAGAGTCGACACTATCTAATAAATAAATATCCGTGTAATGGTGTTTGTGGTCGCACGTCTCCGAAACTGCTCGACGTTGTTGATCATTGACAGTCAAGTCCCGGTCTTCTGCACTCCACTTAGCAGTAGGTAGTCCATTTCGTTATAAAATGATTTCATAGTTAAAAAAAAACTTTGAATCAAGTTAATTCAGTTTCAAATAATTCCAATGAATGGTTACGAAACACCAGCCATTGAAATGTGTGCACAGTTGTAATATTTAATTCAATACATTTTCGTACAACGACTGGATTGGTGCCAATTCACAATGTCTCATGTAGTTCTAACCAAATAATATATTATGTGAACGTTTCACATTGCAGGATGTACTTGTGTTAACACCTAAGGGTGTTGTTCTATAGCGAAAAGGATGGTTGAAAAGCGGGTTTACATTACGGCACTTTAAGTTGTTTGTAAATTATATCTGTAGTTGAAAGTTAATACGAATTAATAATTCATGACGTCATACCTTGCTAAAGCCAAACCAAAGAGCTATGCTTCATCACTAGTGATGTGCCGGATATCCGTATCCGTATCCGCGGATATCCAAGAGAGAAGAGAGATCCGTAACCGTATCCGTGACTTTTTTGGCGGATCTTTCAATACATAGATGAAATTCTATATAGGTGATTTTGTATTCACTGTAAAACTCTTAGGTATGTGTTTGTAACACTATAAACAGCAACTTTTTTTCTGGCCAACGTCAAAATGAAAAAAATTGGTCCTCCATTCAAATGGCCAATCAAATGTTGTTAGTTTATATGGAAAAACAATTTTGTTTTCTTTCGTTTTCGGTGTTAGTCCAGAAGAAAAGTTGTTGTTTATAATGTTACTAATATGTTACTAATATGTTACTAATTTTCACCATATTTGGCACCTTTGTATTGCAATCATTTATCGTACTACACTAAATCAACTAGGCAGGTCGTAGGTACTGAAAGAGCTATCTTTATAATGAGATCAATCAAACATCTTTGTATTAGCTTATTAAAATAATGAAATATTTAAATATCAACGGCAAAGCATCAAGTGGCGACAACTATCAAGGTCACGGGCTCCGATTGAGTAAGAAACTAAGATCTTGACACCAAATATCCGTATTCGGATCCGTATCCGCGGATATACTTTGTTAACGATCCGGCACTTCACATCACCGGCTCGACCGGAGTGATAACACGGTCTTACAAAAAACCGGTGTTCAGCAGCGGTTGAATTAGTGAAGTTACCGGACCCCAAACTTCCCCCTTTTCTGATTCTTAAGGGGCCAACGCATTCTAGGACTTGTGCTGCTGGGCGGCGGTAGTCACTTACCATCAGGTGACCCGTCTGCTTGTTTGCTTCTTTTCCCATCAAAAGTTAATTTAATAAATGAAACTACCCACGTGTACTAAAACCACTTTTTAGATAACGAGGTCGTAAATATCCTTCCAGGTCGATCAATAAGTATTTTTTATTTAAAGATAACATGAACTAGTTATATTTAAGCAGTATTGATGTAAATCCAAATTAGGTTAAGTGCTCCCTCTGAGTGTAGCATGCACATCACGATATTATTATTATTATTATTTTTTTAAAGACAACTCCCGCATTAGGAATATATCCTGTGTTGCAGGGCACTTTACAAACATACATGAAACGGACACAAAGAACACCCAGACTCAGAACAACAATTTGTGGATCACACAAAGTGTCGTCCCATGTGGGGTTTGAACCCACAACACTCGGCGCAGTAGGAAGCGGCGTGGCGACCGCTTAAACAACTACGCCATCTGTGCAGTCAAATATAATAGGTTAATAGATTTTTGGTGGTACCTGGTGGGTAATTTGACGTTTTCGTGGTTACTGTATAGGACTATTAATTAAAAAGTATAAGTTGTCTGCACAACAGAAACCTAACTTAAGTTTCACAGATTTAAAAAATAACAAATAAGGGATGTTTCCCAATTTATCAAGTTTATTTTTTTATTTTTTTAACTGCTAATAGGCATTTCTTGTAGACTCGTATGATGGTAACTGTTGTAACTGCAAAACTGTAACTGTGTAAAGTTTTTATTGTTATATATTTAATAAAAATTAATGAATGTTTCCATAATGTATTGGTAACGTATTATTAATGACTAATATTATACCTATCGGAGACAAAACAAGTAACACTCAACAACAAACGTGTTTTTAAATTAGTAATCTATTTTTAGGTTCGAGTTCATGCATATTTAAAAAACATTACAGTTTTGGCATTAAATATCTCATGATAATAATCTTTTTAAAAGTTCGATCTAGAAAAACAAGTTACAGTTTATAAAGCGCGATACCTGATGTTCATAGGCATCTTAAACTACTTATAATTTATGATATTATTAGGCACTCTTGAAAAAATGGCTTTAAAGGAATATAACAGAACGTAGGTAAATGATTTGCATCGCGTGCTAAATTTATTTTTAACAAATGATTCCTATTATTCCTCGTTTGTCGAAGCATTTTAACCAGTTTACTTACTCCAGCTCCCACACCGTGTACAAGCACCCTGATACTGAACTGTCTCAAATCGACTACTATGCATACTACTAACGCAAATAAACTGCCTTTTTGCCACCGTGTTGAAGCACCCTTACAACTCGTATCTGGGTCTATCTAAGGGTACCTGGATGATCTTGCGTCACACGATGTGTATGATACGTACTGAACGTATAAATAATTGCAAATCAATAAATATTACTTTCAAATTATACTTGGACAGTGTTTTGTAAAAAGGATCCAATTCAAAACGCGATACACCTGTACGTTCGTTTCAAATCTTTACATAGTCTATCTATACATCTATACAAATAAATAAAATTGGAGTGTCTGTTTGTAATATTAAAATAACCGCTTTTTACTAAATGCATATGTATGTTTACACGGTACATATGCCAAAATAACATTTTTTACAATTTTTGTCTGTCTGTCTGTTTGTTCCGGGTAATCTCTGGAACGGCTGGACCGATTTCGACGGGACTTTCACTATATGCAGATAGCTGATGACATAAGGAGTAACTTAGGCTGCTTTTTTTAGACTAGCTTCGCCCCGCGGCGTTGCCCGCGGTTATAACAACAAACGCGGGTAACACCGCGGGTCTCAGCTAGTATAAAATAAAGTCGCTGTTTTGTGTACGCTTAGGTCTTTTTAATTAAGCAACGGATTTTAATGCGGTTTTCACCAATAAAGAGAGTTTTCAAGAGGAACGTTTATATTTATAATACATGCATATTATAGTTGTGAAAATCGCGGATCGCTAGTAATTTATAAAAACATGACCCTAAAACGTCACTTTACTTACCTATATAAACTGTAAAAATTGTACTGAAGATGCTAAAATAAACTGAAGTAAAAAACTGATGTCTTTGTAGAACCTAGTATTAATTTATTTCTTGTCACGACTAAAAGGCTACAAGTCAGAACACAAAATATATTTAAAGACGAGTAAAACACATAATTGCCGTTTGTTTGTACAACTGTAAAGATCTGTTACGAACTTCACGTATAGTTTTAAGTAATCACTTTATTTTAAAACTAGCTGACCCACGCAACTTCGTCTGCGACTCTCAATAGTAATAAATTTTCTCCTTTTTTGAAACAATTGTTTATTGGTGCTCCGCTCCTATTGGTCTTAGCGTGATGATATATAGCCTATAGCCTTCCTCGATAAATGGGCTATCTGACACTGAAAGAATTTTTTAAATCGGACCAGTAGCTCCTGAGATTAGCACGTTCAAACAAACAAACAAACAAACAAACTCTTCAGCTTTATAATATTAGTATAGATATGTTTCAAAGTCAACACGTAAATTGTAGTGAAAAATTATTTATATGCCCGTTAAAATCTATTCTGTTAAGTGACTAATATTGGTTTTAAAATGGCCTTTAATCTGTCTGTTTATTTAGTAGATTCACGCTCCATTTCCCATGCTTCATGGCTAATTGAACAACTGCTTGATATAAGATTTCTTCAGTAACTAAAATGGTGGCGACATTTTAAAGCCATGTCGGCCATTACCCTAGTGGCAATAGCTGCCATCGTTTTAAAATACTAACGGTAACAATTAGGGAGTTGTAACTATAGTGATACTGTTTAGAAATACGGTCCAAATATAGACAGCCTTAGAGACTTAGGTTATCTCAAGGATTGGATTGAGGTCCATATTCCTTGGAAACTGTAGAAAATAAAGAAAAAAAAAAACAAAATAAGTAGGACACCCTCAACCTGAAGCAGGGCAGCTTCAAAACAGCTTCAAAGCTGAAATGAATCCTTGTAATCCGCTTTCTCCACCATTACACTTGATGCCATGCTCTTTATTTAATTTTATCGTGATAATAGGTATATCTGTATTTCTATATTATATTAAAACCAACATCAACAGCCTATCTCCTTAGAAAGGACGAGGGAAGGTTTTTAAGCTTAGCGCCTTTTTTTATTACGGCCTTTGCTACCATAGACAGTGACGAGTTCCTTGATTGCAATAATATGAGATATATCGTATAACAATATGTTACGTTTTGAAAATGATTATATTCACAATATCTATGTATTTCATGAAGAAATTCAGTTAAATTATTATGACTCTGTAAGGGAGGTCGCCCGTGACGCTCCGGACATAAACAATTGTATTTTATTGTCAAATATAATAAGTTTTTGCTGCGTAGTTAAAGAATAACTGAGTTTAATTAAAATATTTCTTTTTTGCTGACCTACATAGAATTTATATATGAAACTTCTTTTTTATATATTTTTGCACTTAATCGTTTAATTATATTAAGCTACATTACACGTTTGTAAACATTTTATTTGAATCTTTATGGTTACATCTGATGAAGGTTTATTAACTAATAATACCACTTCAGTGCATATATTTTAGGGGTTTGGGGATTAAGGTATTTTTGTTTTAATGCGACCGGTTTTATTTTTCAGTCATTTATTGAAGTAGGCACATACACTGGGGGGAGGGGGAGGTGTTAGAAATGCCTACAATATTTGATAATTGACAACCATAGACTGGACTGTCAGCATTTTTTTCCTAACTTTTAGTTTGTATAATGTCTATTAATGTTATATTCATTGTAAAATATCTTATAGCATAAAGAGCTAATACTCAATAGATGTGTTAGTAATGTTTTCATCTTCCGCCTTTTACGTTTGTCTATTCTTACTGTCACTTTGTTTTGTTTGAATTTCAGTCAAACAAAACAAAGTGACAAAGTGACAGTGTTTAAATTTCTATAGCTTTTTGTTTTCTAACTTTGAATTTTAATAATTTTATTTATACACAAATTATCAATTGTTGCAGTAACATTGTGTTAATTTATAACATTAAGTTGGAAAAAAATGAGACGACCTCGCGCAAATTTGAATATAATACTTTGACTTTCACTTGACTTTGAGGATTCCCGGTCCACATTACATTTACTTTTGTGTTCATCACACGCTCACCAATCGTCACTATTCCAATTATTAAAATATCCAGATTTTATGCGGTCAGTAGCATGCAACCGTCAGTCACTGTATCAGATGTCACTCGTCAGGGGCACCCTCTATTATGTTAGCAAAACCTTACAATGTCATGGAAGCCTAACCTTATACAAGACAAATATTCCTGGTGCTGTTGTCTCGTGGGTTTCATTTTCAGTAGTAAGTGGTATGTGTGCGTATGTTGCAGATGGCTCCTGGAGAAGGACGTGTCGGTGTCGGCGGAGCGCGCGCAGTCGCTGGCGGCCGCCGCCACCGCGCACCTCAACGCCGCGCTCGCCGAGCTGCGCAGGTCAGTCTCTCTTATTTACTTCTTTTAGACACCACGATCTAGGACATAACTTTCACAACGATATTTCATTGTGTACTTACAGTTCTCACGACATGTCTGTAGACCCTCATTATAAATACATTATAATGCAATTTTTAGCACAATGTTTTACTGAACCTAGCGTTGTTACAAACCTATTCTTCTATCTATTAAAAACACTGTTTTTTACCCTATATCCTTAGTTAGATGAATGATATTGTGTATGCATAAATTTCAAGGTAAACCTGAATTTAATAGCTAAGTAATTCTATTCTTCATAACAATGGAAGTGCTTAAAACTTATAGACAGAAGCGGGACACAAATAGATTTGTGCACTAAACATATTGGGTATTAGTTTATGACACCAATGTTTATGTCCAATTGTCCTTCATTTTAACACTGCAGTACTTACTGTAGATGTGACGATAATATTAATAGTGAGCTTACACACACACACACACACAAATAATTGGCACTCTATCACTGTACTTATACAACTTCCAAACCTTGAAGGAACGCTCCCATGGCAAAGGCCTGTAGCGCACTAGTAACCTTGTGTATCGTGGGGATGGCATAAAATCACAATGACATGTCATAAATCATCAAATCATATCATCACACCTATGATTGATTTACAAAACCACTGCTGCTTAATTATTTTTATTACAGTAGCGCGAGACTTGCGAAAGGTCTAAACCTATAAAACAAGGTCGTAATCTTTGATAAAAATTATGTTAATTGATTTTATCTTCGTAATCAATTCATCAAATGAATATGATTTAAAAGTAGCAATGATTGCCGTGTCTATTGTAGTCACTCACCATTTGGTGACCCGGCCCTTTTTCCTCTATATGTTATCATAAAAACGATTGTTGAACTTTTATCATTTATAATGAACAACAATAAATCTCAATTTGGAGTAACTTACAGATATTAATTTACCTGCCAAGTGATATAATTAGTTAAAATATAATTGACTTAAAATGGCCGTATCTTTTGATTGTACAATAGCCGATGTCCTGTAGAACAAGATGGCTGAACTGATGATCCTGTAGACATTATATTTGTCTTAGTGACGTGTCACGTGCTATAAATAATTATTATTTATGTTATTAATATATCCTGTTACTTAGCTGTGTAAAGTTGAAGCGGTATAGGTATTAGGTATACGAGAATTTATATTTGTTATTGAGAACACGGAACTTATATCTGCAATATAAACACTTTAATATTTTTAAATACGTGTATTATACTAAATAGATAAGAATTTAGTTTGTTTATCATAACATACAAGCAACACTTTTTTTTAGACACTAGAACAGGGATCCCAAACTAATTTGGGCAAAAGACCCCTTTTTTAAAATGCACTGATACCTTAGACCCCCATAGCTAAATTACTGCACACTTATCGACTTATTGAGTTTTTTTAAAGTACAACCATGATACTTCCTACTAAAATATTAGTCATTCTTATAACAAATTGGTACACGTAACAACTAATACAGTATCTTGAAAGTTTCAAATGAGAACTTGTGCTAATTAATAGGGGTCGATTTTTAGACCTCGTCGACCCTCAAAATCAGGTTTCGTTTATCGTTTATTCGTGTTATCGAACCCTGGGAAACATATTTAGACACACTTTGGGAATCCCTGCACTAGAGGATCTCTCATATTGCAGTGTAAATGTGCACACACACACACACACACACACACACACACACACACACACACACACACACACACACACACACACACACACACACACACACACACACACACACACACACACACACACACACACACACACACACACACACACACACACGAACACGCACACGCACACAATGATTTTTTCTATCAACGACTTCGATGTGCCTAAATTATAATACGCTGTATGCTTCATTTGGTAATTGTGTATTCTTACAGACAAAGTAATCTGTTCCCAATAAAATTTATTTATTTATTTTTAAGGATAACAACAGCTGCAACTCTTAACTAGGTATATTGATGTAAAATATGACATATAATAAATAACTACGATTATAAATAAATAAATTACATATACAAACATATAAATATGAGGAAAAATAAAATTACATAAATAGATTAGAAACTTTCTACCTAAAAACCAGCCATTTAGTGTAATTATGTTGATATTTAAACCAGCCTGTAATGATAGTACGTTTTGTGTTTTGTAGGTAAATATTTAAAAAATAATGATTGAAATCGACTCCCGAATCTGTCTAGGTACTAAACACAATCTAATATAGGGTTTCCTTTAATAAAATAATTAAACTTGTAGCAGCATGGAATTTTGAAACATATGACATGACATACGTGGATCTAACCAGAAATGTGACGTGGGACCTGAGTCTGTTTGTTTATATTAGTGTACATTTGCTTCCAGGCTATTTCTGGTGGAGGACCTGGTGGACTCGCTCAAGTTCGGTGTGCTGCTATGGTGTCTCACGTACGTTGGTGCCTGCTTCAATGGCATCACGCTCATCATACTCGGTAACGTTCTTTTCATAGTTTTTCTTTATCTAAAACTACAAATATGTTGACTTGCAGAAGTTCTTGACATACTGTACAGAGTTTCGCCATCCACTTCTTGACTTCATTAACACACCGTTGTTGCTAAGCTGTAAACATGTTAAATGAACCTAATGAATGAAAAAAAAAACCATCAAGGCTTACTACTAGCTTTTGGAAAGTTCCACTGGGCAGTAAGCTAACTAATGGGTATATTTAAAGTTTGGTACATAAAACTAGATTCCAGTATAGACCTTGACCTATCACGGTACAAAGTCTATACAATGACGGTTCAACTTATACTGGTTAATGTGGGTATTAAAACTAGATCCTCAGTACAATTGAAATTCGACCGAAATTTTCCAGTTAGTGTAGATATTGAACATATAAATTTTGACATACCTGTAGAATGTTAGGATAGCTTGATGAGTAGGATCTTAGGTCCTGGTATGTCTTCGAGTTTTGTCTGTTCGCTATCTGTGTGGTGACGGATTAAGAATACGGAGTGACACCTCTCCTATTAATTCATCTCGTGGGTGTTGTAAGAGCCGATTAAGGGAGCGAACTACGCAGGACAACAGCACTGCCAAGAGAAGGAAAACTTGAAACCAATCCTTTTCCAACCCGTCTGGCCAGCGTGGTATATTAGTCCAGAACTTCAGTCCTTTCTAAGAAGAGACTATGTCCAGCAGTTGACTACTAAAAGTTTCGTTTCGTTTTGAGAGTTTTCAAAAAAATCAAAATTAACTTAAAGCAGTTCTTTTGTATTTATTTAAAAATACAACACCCGCATTAGGAATATATCTTGTGTCGCGGGGGACTTTACAAACATATATGAAACGGACACAAAGAATACCCAGACTCAGAACAACAATTTGTGGATCGCATAATGTCGTCCCATGTGGGGATCGGGCCCACAACACTCAGCCTAGTAGAAAGCGGCGTGGCGAGGCGACTGCTTAAACCACTACGCCATCCGTGCAGTAAATGAAGTTTTTAAATTGATTTTTTTCCAACGATAAAGATTTCATTAATATTTTTAGCTTGTAATATAATGTAACAATATATCTGTCGGCTATAGTTCGATATGCGAGCTGTGATGCTTCCAGCGAAATTAATAAAAATACGAGTTGTGAGATATATTTAACCAACTATTCTGATCGCTGCGCCGCCGCTGCGCGAGCGCATTATTCACTCTCAGTATATTAACGGCCACGTCTCTATACAGCATATTACAGTTTAAATTCAATTTAGTTACATTATGTATGTACACGAGTACATGTATTGCATATGTATACCTATGTCGTTAGATTTTGCTAGCAAACACTTATTTTGAATTTCCTATATTCATACAAAGGGTAGGTAACGTTTCGACGAAATTGCACTGTCCGTGGTGATTGTCAGGCAGGTGATTTCAGTTATATTAAAATTTATTTAAACCAAACAATGTCATAGCAAGCTAATATAATTGAGTAATATCAATTTTACTTGTGATTTTTCAAATCTAAAATTTAATTTTAAATACCTTAAAGATTTTTTTGACACATTGACCCCACGACCATCTGATCCCAAACTAATCAGATAAATATACTTATATATTTTAAAAAACATACCTACACGTTAAAGAAAAGTTATGTAGCAGATGAAATGATCGTGTGCATGCGGGGAGCACACCATTTATACACTAGGTAGAATCGAACCCAGGATCTTTGTCTCAGCCGTCAGTAAAATAGAGTGCACCAGCATTTGACTCCAATAGCCCTTTGAGTACAGAACTGATAGTGAATTATGAAGAATGGTGAATATACGTGTAATTGTGTTGTTATTATTCCAGGATGGATAGCGTTGTTCACTTTGCCGAAGGCGTACGAAATGAACAAGGCGCAAGTTGACGCCAACCTGGAGCTGGCGCGCGCCAAGATCAACGAGATCTCTGCCAAGTGAGTATCCCCCCCCCACTACCCACATCTCAATTCCCCTTAAAAGTTATTGACATATTTGTTTTGTATTAGGTTTGATCTGTGAGAACTAGAACCGGCCATCGACATTTTTGTTAGTTTTTGAAGATACTACGAGTATACGAATAGTATATTATCATACATAAAAATAGTTTTTGTGTACGATATAAAAAAAAAATGCACAATAATAAAAAAATGCCCAAGGATTGGTTAGGAGCCAATCTGGCCCGTCAGTGAGGTCATCATCGATTTAAAAATAATACTATTGGAATCCAGAATAGAATGGAAATAAACTTAGACAGAAAAATGATTTATACAAGGAATACAACTTGTAAATTGGTACAAAAGTTGACCATATTGATAGAAGCTATTTCTTACAAGCGACCATTTGATACACGAACATAGCAATAAACATATTAAATTGTTATATCAAACTTTCTGTGAAATTTGAAATAAAATTGTGAAAGTGTACTGTAATACTAATGTTACGTAACTTTGCAAATATAACACGTTTTAGCCACGAAAGTAAATAATTTTAGATTGTGTTTTTACTTTCTAAATAAAGAACCAGAAGCGTTTAATTAAATGGTTGTGTTGTTCACGGCCGCTGAGCAGTTAGCATTCACATTACAATATTATACTAATTTAATTAGCACATTTAATAAACTCTGATGTGACTAAAACAATATTATGTTTTTAATTATACTATGTAGATATTTATATTCATTGTAACATTTTCGCTTATGTGTTTAGTTGATTTTAAAGTTATGTTAATATGAATAATCTTTTGAAGAGTGTATTGGATAGGTTATGCCCTCTTTAAACCATAAGTGTAGCCATAAAATCAAACAGTTTAAAGTGCACTGTTATATTAAATATTTATATTCTAATATACTTTTGTGCCCTAATCGTACGACGCAGTCATTAAAACTCTTTAAATTAAAAAAGTAAGTTTGATGTGTCACAATTAAGACACATTTATATTGGTCACACTTATTATAATGTTACATTGATGATTATTCCTCTAAGACAAATATACATATTCGAAAATATCTCTATAAAAACCACAAATTATTTACCAAAATTTCAAAAAAAAATGTATTTCTAAATATTCGGAAATATTATTTTGGGATACTAACTGTTATTTTTCTCTACTAAATGTGTGTGTGTGTTGTGTGCAGGGTGCGGGCAGCGGTCCCTCTGGGCCGGAAGTCGGAGAGCGAGAAGGACAAGTAGGGGGTGACACCTGATTAGCGCCGAGTACTTCTCATGTTTGTTATATTTATTATTATGTACTATTAAAGATAACTACTTTACGTGTAAAGCTTTATGAGACGAGTCATGCGGAGATTATTGTATTTGCTTTTTGAAATTTTAAATTAAAATAACTGTCGAACCGAACCTACCTTTTTATTTCAATAACCTTAACTTTGAACAGCTCTATACAAGAGAGAGAGAGAGAAGAGAGAGAGACAGATATTGTAAGAGGGCTATTCATTGTTTTTTTCATCAACAACTGCAATGAATTGAATAATAAACTCATAAATCACGTACTTACGTACATATAAGGGGTAGACAGTGGCGTATTGGCCTTAGATCCCACTGTAGAATTCCTACGTTCATCGAGTATTGAATCGAAATCACATTCTTACAATCGGTTATCAATCAATATGTAGGCATGAGACAAAATCACAGTGAACTGTGAAAGACCGGTGATTTATCATTCGATTTTGTCGTACGTAGGGTTACTACTTCTTTACGTGTTGTTACCAATAATAAGCTGTTTTCAGAAGATGCATAAAGACCCTATTTCGACTATTCAACAGTAAATCTAGTAATTACCTATTTTATTATACTTAATAATCACATCTACGGCCTATAAAAGTCCACTGCTGGATATAAGCCTCTCCTTAGAAAGGAGGTTTTGGCCTACTATACATCGCTGGCCAGACGAGTTGGTACTGGTACTTACTGTTAAATAGCGTCTGACCTCCCTACCTAGCAACCCTAACCTACGTACGCAAAAATCGAATGCTTAAAACGACAACTTCCGCATTAGGGAAATATCCTGTGTCGTGGAGGACTTTACAAACATATATGAAATGGACACAAAGAACACCCAGACTCAGAATAACTATTTGTGGATCACAAAGTGGGGATCGAACACACAACACTTAGCGCAGTAGGAAGCCGCGAGGTGACCGCTTAAACCACAACGCCATCCGTGCAGCTATATTAGTTGACTGTTGAGAAGAAATTTCAATTATTTATATTTTATTTGAATGATTGCACTCTACTTCATAGATAAATCTGTAGACAACTTAAAAAGTGATGGTTGCCATTGCTTCCTTGCCCGCAACCTCTTCGCAACCAGAAGGCCAATTCTCATAATAAAAGTTCGGTCTCAATTCAGTTCCGATCAATTTTCGATCTCATAACTGTCATTACCTAAAGGTATTTTCGACCGAGTTTTTATTACGAGAATTGACCTTCAGGCGTAAGCAGGTAATATTTTGAAGCATACGTGCATGACGTATAAGTATTTATAAATTACTTACTGAAGTTACTGCAGTAATAAATAATTTTCGTGTAAGTATTTGAGTAATGAAGAAAAAAGTATGACGTCATCACTTCCTTATAACGAAGTCAAAATCAAAATTTCTTATTAAAATGAGATGATATCCATGGGATGACGGATTAAGAATACGGAGTGTCAATACGCAGTGTCTGTTCTACGCAAGACAACAGCGATGCAAAGAGAAGGAAAACTTGAAACAAACCCTATCTCAATCCGTCTGGCCAGCGTGGTATAGTAGGCCAAAACCTCTTTTCCAAGGTGAGGTCTATGTCCAGCAGTGGACTATTAAAGATATTATTGATGATGATAATGATGCAACATACTTTACTTTGTGTCAGTCAGCATTCTAATTTTTCAACAGGCTTACTAGTAATCCTTTTTATCAGAAGGAACTTTTAGGTTATTACTTATTCGTAACCGGCCACGTGATAGTACGTTATACAGGTCCCTATATACAGTAAATACTCTAGCTCTTTACCTATGAAGAATGAGATTTAAAAAAAAAAGTATTATCAGATTTAGTTATCTGTGGATTGACGCGCAATTTAAAATTCGAGTAAATTTTATTCGTAAGTCATATTATTTTAATTTAAAATTCAGTTATTTGTTTACACAATTTCACAAAAACAAAACATATCTAGTTTTGTTTTTGTGAAATTTGTGCTAATATCTACCTGAAAATTTGTACTATTTTCGAATACGAGTTCCTGCGTGGAAATACCGCTTCGCAGACAATATGAAACATTAACGACGTGTACGGGATTAACACTGCTTGCATAAACACGGTCCATTATTGGTTAAATCGTTTTAGATCTGGAAATTTTGAGTTGAAGAACGAGCCTCGCGGTCGGCCGGGAACTATAGTCGACAACGACAAATTGATGGCGATAGTGGAAGCGGATCCAACTCAATCTATGGGAGAGATTGCTGCGGGTTTTGGAGTTAGTGTCAAAACACCATTGAAGCACTTGCGTTAAATCGGAAACATAAAAGGTATAACAGTGGCCGCAGACGTCTGTTGAAAAGAATTTCAATTAATAATGGAGAAGCTCGCAATTCAACAACCACGACTGGTCAATCGCTCTTTCCATTTTATTTTTATGTTAGAGGGTCAGACGAGCAGACGGGTCACCTGATAGAAAGTGATCTTCACCGTCCATAAACGTTGGTTCTCCACGACTACGGCCTACTTCACGACAGACCATTGCAAAGAGTTACCGTTGGAAGGTCTCCGTCACCCACCGTACGCATCGGACCTTGCTCCAACAGCTTTCAACCTTTTTCAAAATTTTGTCAATTTTTAAGTGGGAAATATTCAACTACCAAGAGGCAGTACAAAACGCTTTCGCTGACTTCATCGCCTACCGTCCAGCAGACTTCTACAATAAAGGTATAAACAAGTGACACCAAAATGTCCAAAATCTTTAAACTTTAACCTTTTCATACGAATCTCTAACTTCATAGGTAAAGACCTAATATTTCACATCTTTATACCCTACTGCACCAGAAGGAGGGTTATGTTTTTTGAGTGTATGCTTTTGATTTGGAAGGTGTCGTTAGATTCGTCTTAATCGTGTGACTCACTCAATTCAACAATTATTTCGTTCTCGACTTATTCACATATTTTCTTTTTCTCATTTTTGTTTGGTTACCAAAAAAGAAATTGATATCAATAACTGCCTACTAAACTTCTACAAGGCTAATTCTCATTTAATTAAAGGCGATTAGGTACATCTACATAAAGTAGATACAGCCTCTGTGTTGTCTGAACTTATAACCTCACTTACATATATTACGCTATCCTGTTCAATGACGAGCCGTCGATGGTTAAGCGGAAGTGTAAAATCCACCAAGGACCAATGACATTATTATTTTTAGTAAAACATCTTAGGCTAATATTTTATGTTTAATGTTAAAGTTCATCAATTGAAAACAAATAAAATCGATCGATAAACAGAGGAGAAAAAGGTATTGAACTATTGTGTTGGTGACTATTGAGGATGTGATGTCCATCGAAAAGAGGATGAAATATTCACACCAGTAAAAAAAAACTAAAATATTTTTTGTAGTGGTTACATAATTAGTAAATTTTAGTAATTACGACGCCTGAAACCACCGCGGCAGCTTTCACTCCATGGAAAAGGAGGTGGCTTCGGCTACAAGAATAATCTTGGAGAATAAATTGATTATTATGTCATCAACAGCCCCTAACAGTCCACTGCTGGACAAAGGCCTCTCGTTACAATGGAGGTTTTGGCCTACTATACCACTCTGGTCAGACAAGTTGGTATAGGGTTTGTTTCAAGTTTAATTCCTTCTTTTTGTAGTACTAATGTCCTGCAGAGTTTGCTGCCTTAGTCGGCTCTAACGACACCCACGGGATGAATAGGGGTAGTGATACTCCGTATTCTTAGTCACCACACGGATTATTATCTAATAAAATTCTAACAACTTTTTTTTTAAATTTGACAATTTGTTATTGATGTGATAAGATAATTTAAATTTTATTTTTGATTCTTGATGATGATATGATAATCCCATAAAAAAAAACAATTATTTTCATTCATTAGGATTTTTCGAGGTGTTTAAATGTAAGCACATACTTAGGTCTTTACATAAAATGCATCGTTACTTTATTCCAAGTAAATGCTGGAACCCTGCACACGACACAGATAGCCCACACCTATTGTGGAACATGATCTGACACATCTGACATTCAATGTTCCAAAAAAGAACAGCTGACTGTCAGTGTGTTGTCAATGTCAGAAACTTCACAACTGCTGTCAGTCAATGTGCTCATGTCCTGCTGACAGGCTGAATTATCTGAAACAAAGTTTTCAGTACTTATTTTATTACTACTGTAATGTTATAAGAATTAATTATATTACGATTTTCACACATAAGCAGTTTAAATAGCTGTGGTGATATAAGGAAGTTATTTTTATACCAATCTCTTAAAATGATGATGTAAGGCCAAGAAATTTTCATGCAACCTTTGATACTCAGTAATATAGACACTTGAAACTGGATTGTGATATAGGTCGGAGAATATAGATCTCCATTAGTGATAGTGGTGTGTTAGAAGACGACATGGAAGACAACGTAAGGTTAGTTACACTTTTGATTGAATCGTGCACTCTTTCATTATATTCTTCTCGCCCTCTACTTGATTCTGTATTTAAATATATTCCTCACACTCAATTTATGTAAATAATCTGGCACAAAACTAAAAAAAAAGTTTTCTTTTTAAATTCTACTATGATTATGATAGATAAACTTTGATATTAAAGTCAAGGCTTTTCCTGTATTTATGGTATTGCTAGAAAATATATAAATTTATGCTAATATTTAACAGAATTTACTTATTCTTGTTTTGTATCTTTTATACATGTTTTAAATACTATTTATAAAAGTTTTTATCCTAAAAAGTTCTATGTTCTTTAATTTTTCTTGTACTTTCAAGTGTGATGTGTCTGATGCTTTTTAGAACTACACCTTTGTGGTTTTCAGGTGAATGGCTTCTCCTTAAGTGAAGTGGTAACACCAGTGATTGGCACAGTATGTAGTTATTAATTTGCACATTTTGATTTTAACTAACAGTAGAGATCAGGTGTACAATTAACGGGTAAACTAACAATTAACATTGGGTAAACACAGT